ATGTGAAAACCTCAATACAATAGTATGGAAAGACTTGCTATGATACAGGAGCACATAATCATATACTTAGGCTGTGTTCATTACATATTTGTTTCTATTTTCTCAAAGAAGAACATCCTTATCTGGACATCAGAACCAAATCATTTTTTCCCATCTGTTCTCAGCAGAGGTAAGAAGGAGGAAGCCAGGAAGAAGGAACTCAAGAGCCTAGATAAAGCCCTAGTACTGTAACCCAGAGGGCACTAGGAGACCACAATATAACAGTTGCAAAACTAAGAGATAAAAATGACAATGGATTACTAATTCTTTAGCTTCCTGGTAAATCTTCAGCTTCCTTGAGGTTATATGTGAAGTTTATTGTTTCTCCCTATTTGTAAAGAAAGACTTTGGCAAGCAAATCTAAGAGACCCTCCAGTTAAGGCTACAATTTTGTCCATTTCAGCTGGGTTTTCCCTTCCCCCACCTGGCACTGCTTTCCTCCAAGGTTTTCCAAGATTCCTGTAACCTCACCAAAGGGATTCACATAGATCATCCTCTTCTTTAGATCTATTATCACAAAACTAGATGCATGGAGCAGAGTCATTAAGAATTGCTCATTAGAAATGGATTTTTTGTATAGGTTACAAAAAATAAACACAAAAATGATGGATCAAAATTCAATTGTGCCCAGCATCATTACTATAGCAGATGAGGAACTGAGAACTCATGACAAGTACTGATGCTAAAAAACCTCTGGGCCATTAAAGTAGCCAACCCACTAATGCCACACAATATTAACATCACAACAGAGTTTCCAGACAAATTTTTGTTGCTTCTTCATGTAAGAACTAGAAAAGGAATGCCTTAGATTTAGGATCACACATGCTAACATCAGTCAAGAAAAAACAAAAATTGAACACCAAGTGACATATGCTTAGTATAAAATAAACACACACATAATAAGAGCATCTGTAGATATTCTTGTACTTCTATTCACATTACTGAACTTTTCTATTCCCTCCACACTAAAGACAATGCAGATGACTCACTATTTCACAAAATCTTCAATGCAGAAATCCCACCTACCCTCACTCCCTACCCCCAAATAAAATAATCACTTTTCCCAAGAGATCTGGGACTGTTGAGCTCTTTAGCTTAAGAATTTGAGGGAAGGAAAAAGAAAGAAAATAAAAATCTAACTACATTTGGGAAACTAGTTTTTGTGAATATTAATGACAAATCACTCTTCTCCAGTGTACCCCCAAATACCAACACTATACTCCTCAACCCCCTGAAGATAAAAAATCCTTGGAGGGATATTATTACAATTACTACAATACATCCAAAATATCTAAGGAATAAAAGGGAAAAAAATCAAGTGAAATTTTTGCAATTTATAGCTAAGGAAACAGGAGATACATCAGGGAGAAACATTAAAAACCCAAGCTCATCATCCCTGGAAAGAGAATTTAAAATACAAGATGAAAAATCAACTCTTAAGTTTAGTGGTAGATGGTTAAAGACATCTTCCTTCAAGGACTATGACTTAACATCAACATTTGCAACCACAGGCCTGAAATACTTCAATTTCTTATTACAAATTAATTAAAAGGCTTAAGTTCAAATAGCTCATAATCCCAAAATATAAACAAAAATCTAATGGCAAGACATGACTCCAAGTTTCACTAGAAGGTTTTTCAGATCACATTTTGCATTTTCTCTCCTTAGAATCTACACCATTATTTTGTACCACCTCCTTAACTAACCCTGAACAGCATGCTGGTTTCCAGGCTAGCACTGATCACACACATACTACTAAGTCTATATGACATTATATTTCAGAATGTTTTCTTTGAATAAAGATGGATAATTAGGAAGCAAGTTTCTCAAGAAAAGATGACAAAGTTAAAATACAGGGAAATGATAGATGACAACCAGAAATTGACTACCAAACAGTAACTTGTGCAAAATCACTCAAAAAATGTTTTTGAGTGGGGTCAGGATTAGAGAACCAAGATTTATAAGCTGAGTGGGAGTGAGGTACCTAAGGCAGAGAAAACAAAGTGAGTATTAGCCAGACTGAAGTAAATGGTGAAAAAAAGAACTATGTAAAACGTAACATCATTCTCATTGTTTTGCAATGGAAAGATGATAAAGTATTTAGCAGGAGTTTCATGTAATTTTTCTGTGTTAAAATCACTGTGCCTAACTGTTAGGTAAGAAGGAGGTAAATATTATTTTAGTCAACTGAGGAGTAGTGAAAGAAGAAATAGAATCCTTAACCCTGTCCGTAAGTTGCTTGCATGTCATTTCCTCCATTAGAACATGAGCTCCTAGGGGCAGCTAGGTGGCACAGTGGATACAGCTCCGACCTTGGAATCAGGAGGACCTGAGTTCAAATTTGGCCTCAGATACTTTACACTTACTAGCTGTGTGACCCTAGGCAAGTGACTTAACCCAGATTGCCTCACCAAAAAAAACAAAACAAAACAAAACAAAAGAACATGAGCTCCTTGAGGGCAGGGACTGGTTTTGCCTTTGTATCCCCAGCAATTAGCACAGAGCCTGGTCCACAGTAAAGAATGACTTGTTGACTTGATTGACTTCCTGCCCATTACTAATGGACTAATGGATTAAGGACAAGTAGACTGTTTGAGAATTTATTGGTCAATCCATCTTTTTTTTTTTTAGCCCAATGTAAATTACCATCCTAGATTCCTTTCTGCTATATTCATGTGGCCACTCATTCATTCAGCAAACAAATATTTGTCAAGCAGATGCTGTAGTGTGCTAAAACTACGATAGAAGGTAGTTTGGTTAAGACTTGGTCACTGCTTCTGTGGAACTTGCTGTCTAACAGAAGGCTAAGAAAACAAAAACAGACTATAATACACAAGATTACACAGTGTGTTAAAGAGCTGCAAAACAAAGTGCTAAGTGAAGTCTGAAAGGTATCAAGGAAGGAGGCTCAAGGAAAACTGGAGGAAATGGTATTTGAGTTGAGTTTAAAGGAGGGTAAAAATTCAACTAAGGAAAAGGGGGGAAGGAAGGCATTCCTGGTATTGAGAACTCAGGAGAATGCAGGGTAGTTAATGTGGGGGCTGGGTAAGAGAGACACAGATTAGTTTTGTTTGACTGAAATAAATAAAGAAGACAGGTGATGCCAGAGAATGACAGACAAAGGAGTCTGAAGAATTTTACTGGGTGGATATTAGGTAGTGATCAAAGATGTATGAGTAGAAAAGTGGCATGACTAAGTATAAGAAGGATTATTCTTGTAGGATTACAAAAAAAAAAATGGATTGGAGATGAAAAGACCTGTGAGAAGGCTACTGCAATTTACCAAGTGGGTGGTAATGAAGGTCTGTACTAGACTGTTGTCACTGGGGATAAAGAGATGGAAGAACATGAGAGATTTTGCAGAGGTAGAATCAATGTAAGTTGGATATAAGAGGAGAGGGAAAGGGAAGAGTTAAAGGTGATACCAAGGTCACAAACAGGGGAGAAAGGAAGAATGGTGACACCACAGACAGAATAGGGCAGTTGGGTTTAAAGAGGAGGTAATGAGTAAGGCTATTATGAGCATAACCCATAAAAGCCTGATTTCTGCAAAAATTCACTAGCTATCTCATAGAGTTGTTGTAAGGAAAGCACAAATTTAAATGAGCATGATTATTATTCAAATAGTCAATATTTTACCATTATTAATTCAACCTGGAAAATGGAATTAAGGAATATACTTAATTCAATATTTCTGATTCTCACAACTAGGAAGCCACCTGCTAGGGTGGACTTTTTCGGTTAGGAGGCTGTCAGAAATTAAAAATACATTTGCAGGAATAAATGAAAGTGTGAATAGAACCCAGTTATTAAAAGGTAACATGTATGCCCTTAGATTATTTTCATCAGAAACCAAGCAAGTTTGTTTTCAAAGCGCTATACTAGAAGATAAACTAACTGATTTTTATTTTAAACCCAGTCTGTACTGCTACCTTTACAAGAAAAGATTCTGGCTACCAAGTCTTTGCATGATAAAAGGGCGCAAGATACAATGAGCAAAGCAGTTTATAGGCTACTCTTTTCTACAAACAACCTTGGATGTACCGAGTTGTCAAGGTTAAAAAGAAAACTTATTAGGTCAGAATTACTAAGACCTAAACAAACAACTATTAATAAAGGGATGCAGCAGGTTAAGGGTCAAGCTTTGTGCAGAACCCATATTTGACTTTGGAAATTCTATTGGTTGTTTCCTGTAAATGTGAAAACAAATTGACAAGAAAGTTAAGCAAAGATATAACCTTGGTGAAAGGTTAACTTTCGTCTTCCCAAATTACATGCTAATAACTAACCTGGTTCTAAAAAGCTCTTCTCTCGCTGAAGCAGGTCACATCCAGGCGGCTCAATTTTTCTGTGGTACTCGGATCACCTCCCTCTCTCCCTTCCCCCATTGGTAGACCAGAGAAGAAAAAACCAAGTACCGTGTAGCCTGCCTGTTTTGCCCTAAGGGCTTAACGCAACCATGAAATGGAGCACAAGAAATGGCATTTTCCAAACTCTGGAAAGACGAGGGTTTGGGAAATGGTTGACCTAAGTCCCTAAGAGCTATTTAAAAATACTAGGCAAGAGAATCTGCAACTACAAGTCAAGCCAACATCTTCAGCACGCCTAAATTGCCTCAATCTTGCCTCCCCATTTAGAACCAAATTTGGGCAGCTGAAGCACCTATAATCATCGGAATCCCAAACTCCAGGCATTTGTTCCTTTGAGACTGCCCTTAAGAAGCGAAACAACGGATTTAAGACCCGTACATTTTAAAAGACAAGCTCGCAAGCCAGGGACAGTCATTTCACATCTACAAACTACTCCCTCCTCCCTCCCGGCTACGCAATAAGACCTAAGGTAAAGAGGGAGAGTTCCAGTCAACTGACCACCTTAGGATAGTAGGGAGGAGAAAGGAATGGAAATGAGGGGAGGGGCAGGAAAGAAGAAACAAACCAACAAGAGGTACCAAATTCGCCCACCTTTCTTAAACTCTTCCAGCATGGCGTCCAGCTTAGTGTCATTAAAAACAAAATGCAAAGGGTGATTGTAAAACTTCGTGATGGTTTTCAAGGGAGTGGAGTCATCAGGATCAACGAACGCCAAGTCCTTGACAAAGAGGAGGTCCACGATGTTGGAGCGCTCCCCTTCAAAGACCGGGATGCGAGTGTAGCCGCTCTCCATGATCTCTGACATCGTGTTGAAATCCAGGATCGCCTCTCCAGTGATCATGAAGCAGTCCCGCAGCGGAGTCATCACGTCCTCCACTGTCTTGGTGCGGAGCTCCAGCGCCCCTTGGATGATGTTGAGCTCCTCCTTGACGAGGTCGTTGTAGGGGTCGGTGACGCGAAGCATCTCCAGCAGCTTCTCGCGGTTGTAGACTGTGCCGATCTCCTGGCCCAGGACGCAGTCCAGCAGCTTGCTGACCGGGTAGGAGGCGGGAAAGGTCATCATCATGAAAAACTTGGTGAGGAAGATGGTGTTGGCGCCCACTGCCAGGCCGTGCCGGGAACAGATGGCCTGAGGCACTATCTCCCCAAAGATGACTATGCCAATGGTGGAAACCACCACGGCCACCAGGCCGGAGCCCGCGATGTCGTCCAGCAGGATGGTGAGGGTAGTGTTGACCAGCACGTTGCCCAGCAGCAGGGAGCACAGCAGGTAGTTGCCCTGCCTGCGCACGGGCTCGATGCGCTTGGCGTAATTCTTCTCCTTCTCCGTGCCGCAGTTCTGCACGATGCGCAGCTCCATGGGGTCCAGCGCCATCAGTCCCAGGTTGAGGCCGCTGAACATCCCCGAGAGGCAGAGCAGCAGCGAGATGAAGATCACCTGCAGCCAGAAAGGTAACAAGAACTTCTTCTCCTCCCCCACGATCATCTTCGTGTCCTCGCCATCGTGGTAGATCCAGGTGGTCTCTGCCCACGGAGGCGGAGGGAGCCCCGCCACGCCGCGGCCGCCTTTGCCCCCCACGGGGCTGCCCGCCGAGCCGGGGCCGCCGGCCGCCACGGGCGGGGTGGAGAGCGACGTGCACAGGTAGTAGGATTTGCTCTTCTCCGTCTTGCGCAGAGGCTTGATTTCGATCTCGATGATGCCCGACGTGCGGCGGTTGAGGACGATGTGGGGCAGGATGATGATGTCCGAGGTGCGGATGCCGCAGCGCTGGGGGCCGCTCTCCGGCTCCGGCTGCAAGGGGCCCCCGGCCCCCCTCTCCCCGTGGCCCTGCCGCCGCCGCTCGTGCTCAGTGAAAGCAATGCGAGACCAGGTCTCGTTGTTGATGTTCTGCCCGTAGACCCGCAACTTGACCCGGGTCCGCTCGCTCACCCGCAGCGCCCCCCCTTCCATAAACGACACGTCGTTCGTGTCTTCCAGCCTCAACCCGATGATCACCGTCTCCTCCGCCTCGCCGCCCCCCGCGCAGCTGCCCCTGCCGCAGCAGCAGCTCAGCAGCAGCAGCAGCCCCGCCACCACCCGCAGGACCTCCCGGCCGTGGGCACTGGGGCTGCGGCGCGCCGCCATCTTCCAAGTGGGCAGTGCGGCGGCCACCGGCCCGCCCGCCATCTTTACTCCGGGCTTACAACCGCCACAGCCAATCATAAGGGGGCTGCTCCGGCTGTGGCTTCATCCTTCTCTCTGGCTGCCCGAGGCGCAGGCACCGGCACCTCAGCTGGGCTGCCACCGGGAGTCCTCCCCCGGCGCTTCACTGCCCGCTTCCCTTGCTGACACTGACACTGCTGGGGCCAAATACTGGACCTCTAGCCTGAGTGGGGAGGGGGAGGAGGCGGGAGCGGTCGGGCAACAACTTGAAGAGCAGGTAGGCCAACCAGTCAGGAGAGAGCACCCGCCCTCTCAGTTAGGGGGCTGGAATGAAGGCGTGGCCACCGGCTGCGCCATGGGCCAATAGCAAGGTAAGGGGGTGGGGCGATTTTTACCTCGGCCCCCTCACCACGCCAAGTTTCCAACTGCAAGGCGCGTGACTCTTGTGTATGTGTGAGGGGTGGAGGTGTGGCCAGCAGCAACCCATAAACCAATCACAATTCAGAAGTCGACTGAAAAAGGTGGGGTTGCCCAAGGCCTAGCCAATCATATTCTAACAACCCTCCAGCTGGGCGCTCTCCTTCGGGTACTTGATAGTAGACAGAGGCTCGTGCTTTTTTTTTTTTTTTTTTTTTTTTTTTTTGCAGGTGCAGTGTCAGATTCGGGACTCTGCCCTGCGGCGGGGTATTTTGCGCTTCCCTGGAGCAAATACATGTGTTGGCCACCTCTCATCTCATCGCCTGTTCCGCGGGTCTTAGTGCAGGTGCAGCGTGGGTTGAGCTCTGCTCTAGCACCATTGGCAGGGGGCTTTTGCAGGGTTAGAGAAGCCAGTTTGGAGAGGGGAAGATGGAAGTGTGCGTGAAGCTAAACGCAGTTTTTATTGCCCAAGGGCATCAGGGTCACGCAAGGGAATTCCACTGCCTTGGCGTGAACAGACGCATGCTGAAAGTGGGTAGAGGGGCATCATTTACAGCTGGCCGGACAGCTCTTCCCAAAGCCACGTGTTTTCAAGTGCCTGCCGGTGGTAGAAGCGGGTTGGCATTGAGGAGGCGCCCTCGGGCGGCTTGTAGAACCGCAGCACCGCCTGCCGTCAGCGAAGCTGTCCTGCAGATATTTTCTATGCCGGCCGCAAATGCTCTCTCTACTTTGTGTAGGTGTGTATAAAATATATACAATGTATAAAGTCGGGAAAGTGGAAAGGGAAACCCTGGGGAGATCAGGAGAGACCTTATGTAGGAGGTCTTTTAATATCAAGTATTAATTAATTTGAACAGTATTTAGATTACTTAATTTATCAATAAATTATATCTTAATAAATTGGTTTATTAGATTAATTAAAGTGTTAAAAGTATCAATTAATACTTTAAATACTAAGCTTTGAAGGATGCTAGGAATCCTAAGGGTGGAAATGAAGGGGGAGAATGTTCCAGGTATGGAGGACACAGCCTGTGCTAAGGCCCAGAGGTGGGAGAAGGGTAGTACGCCTGGAGCTTACAATATGAGGAAGGTAAAGTGGATAACAAGCCTGGAAATTAAGGCTAGATCCAGACCACGGAGAGTTTTAAATGTTGACCAGAGGAGTTTGTGACTCCACCCTGAGAAGTGTGGACTCGGGCTAAAGCATGGTAGGATGGAAAGATGGAGGTTTAACCTCTGCCACTTACTTTCTGTATGATCTGGGGCAAGTGGTGAACTGACCCTCAGTTTCCTCATCTGTAAAAAGGGGTAATACCTGCACTTTATGTCCCACAGGGTTTTGCAAGGTTGGCCTTGTATGTATAGCATAGTGCCTGCCTGCCACATAAGTGCTCGATGAATGGCTGTCAGATTAAAATAAGACACTTCAAGTAGTGATCCGGAAACCTTAAAGTGAGCTCTTTTTTTTTTTTTAAACCAAGCACATTTTATACCTTTGGGTGGATCATGTTGCACACAAATCAGACATGTTTTACTAAGTTTGGGTAGGAGGTGTCAGTTTTATTTAACAGCTCCAAAGACATCACAATATTTGGTTTCCATTAATTTTTCCTCATTCCAACCTTGTTCCCTCCCTCAAAACAAACACACACACACACACACTTCATCCTTAAAACTTGCATTTGAAATCAAAAGTCAAAAGGAGAAAATTTGATTGGCAGACATGACATAGGGTGTCCTCTTTCCCCGAAATAGTAAAACTAAGATAGGTCATTAAAAAACAAAACTAAAGAGTTTTATGGGTACTAGTCAAAGGTCAGGGTTAAGTAGTTAAATGAAAAAATACCAAAAATAGGGCCAAAACAGGAATTTTGAACTAATGCAGCTTTAGAAATAGCTTGCTGTTATTTAGTTGTTTCAACCATGTCTGATTCTTCATTACCCCTTTTGGGTCTTTCATGGCAAAGATACTGTAGTGGTTTGCTGTTTCCTTTTCCAGCTCATTTTACACCAGACTGCCAGAAGGGTCTACAACAGTAAAATAAATAAATAACCAATAAAATAAAAGAGGTTAAGAATTCCTGACTTATATCAAATACTTTGATAACACAAGGATCTCAGAATTTCCCTGGGCAATCCTTCCAACAACACAGGTCACAACCTTGTCTCCATCACTTTGCACAGTACCAGGCACATAATAGGTGCTTAATAAATGCTCATTGACTGCCTACCCCTCTACTTAGGAGTAAATAGTAGATGTAAGACTTAGCAAGACCTGGGTTCAAAAATCCAGCCCCAGACACTTGCCAATCCTGTGACTCTGGGGCAAGTCATTTAAATTCTCTCAGCCTCAGTTTCTTTATCTGTAAAATAGGTCTAATAATACCTACCTTACATGGTTATTGTGAGACTCAAATGAGAAAATAGACTAAAGTGCTTGGCAAGCCTTAAAGCTCTATAAAAACATCAGTTGTTATTAATGGTATAACAAGAAATGTAGGACTCCCTAGCCAAACATACACATATCTCTCTCTCTCTCTCTCTCTCTCTATATATATATATATATATATAGATAGATAGATAGATAGATAGATATAGATATATATTCAGAAAGGTCACGCTGACCTTTTGTTAGCTGAAAAATGAAGAATTGCAGTGCCTCCGAAATGTAAATAGGATTTCTTAGAAGGAAAAGGGGATTTTTACACTTATCAAGGTCATATGAAGCTAATTACCTTCCCTAGTCTAAATAACTGAACTTAAGTGGGTTCACTCAGTGCCTAAACTTGTCAGTTCCTCCAATGGAAAGGGTTTCTCTGATGGAGGCATGGTATTAAATGTTGAAGTGGCATATTGCTGGAAGTCCCATCCTTGACTCCAGGGTTCTTCTGGGGATCCTTCTAGCCTCAGGGCCCCTTTACCTGGTCAGTAGTGCCTGTGGTTGTACCAATGGAAGTCCAACGTATGTCCTTGATTTTAGTGCTGCTCGGTAAAGGCAGGAAGAAAGAGGGAAAAAGACAAACAGAGGAGAGAGACAGAGAGAGAGAGACAGAGACAGACAGAGACAGAGAGAGAGACAGAAAGAGAGACACAGAGATAGAGAGACAGACAGAGAGAGGGAGAAAGAGAGAAAGAAAGAGAGAGCGAGCCAAGCCCTAAGCAGATTCGTGGATTCAATGTCCTTTAGTCCAGTAATTACTTAATGGTCTTCTCCAAAGGCAGACTCCCTATTCTGGTTCAAATGAGATATGTGTAAAGTGTTTAGCACAGTGCCTAGAACATAGTAGGTGTTTAATAAACTCTTGTTCCCTTCTGTCTCCTGACCCCTTTCGTGCTCTGTGTGACCCTCTAAATGTGCTAATTTAAGCAAAACTAGATATTCCTACCAAAAGCCTCTTGCACACATAACACCCACGACTGAAATAATCCACAGTAACAAATCAAGATAAAAATATGAAACTGTGACCTCTGTGATTCCCTGGTCTGCAAAGGCTAATTGGAAAGTCTGTAAATTCCATGCTTTGTCAGGAGGAACTGCCAGACTACCAGGATTATGAAAAATCTATATATTTAGTCTGGAATTTTTTTAGGATAGCATGTGAAACATAGACATGACAATATAATCTATGGATTTTCGTTTTCAACATAAACCCCAGACTTTATAGGGAAGCATTTCTACTTAAGGAAATTACCTAGTATTAAAAGTATTCAAAACCCTCGAAGAGTCAGATTTTAGACCCAGGCCAAACCCTTGCTGAATATCCAGAAGGAAAACAGGAGCTAGGTAAACACCAGATCCAGTAGTTCTCCCCTCAGAAGCTACCTTGTCTTCCCCTGAATCACATCCACCCTCTGGGAAACTGAAGGATTTCTCAGGACTGGTAGAGTGTTTATTTAAACACATAGGGGGACTTTAGCAGGAATGCATGTCATTCAAAGCCAGGAGTAGAAAGAAAACAGCAGTACCATTTACCTCTCCAATAGGACTTCCCAGTCTTTTTTGCTCTCCCATTTCCCACCTTCTCTTGCCACTTCCTGGACTTTTCACAAACCAGTGACACCCTGACTATACTTGAAGAAGAAAAGCTTCCTTAGTCTCCAGACCCCATTCAGTTCACTTTAAAATACTCACTTAAATGCTAGCTACTAGTGTTATTAATCAAATGTGAATTAAAGTGAATTAAATTAGTGAATTAATTTAGTGAATTAAAGATAGCTACAATGAATTGTAGTTCATACAGCCCCATTGATATGCCTTAGCATACCTAACCCTTCCCCCTGCCTTGCCAGGTAGGAGGATAGAGCATCTTTGGGGGAGGCTAGAGCTGAGCAAACACAACTTGTGCTCACAGACCCACCTCTCACTGTTTGGTCTGTGGTCTCCGTTCTTTCTCTTCCTCCTCCATGTAGATCTGGTGCTGCTGCAACTTTGTCTTTAGTGTAGCATACTCTTTGTCTGACAAAGCTTTTACCATATACTAAGGCCCAGGGCTGCAGACACTTCTTATCCCAACTTTCCAAGGCTCCTCCAGCTCCTTCAGAATAGCCCTTAGGCAAAAGAGCTCCCTCTCTAAGAAGTGAGTGGGCCAATTGCCTTCATTTGGCTTGCCATGCTTGAAATTGCCAAAAAAACAGGATGATTTGCACAGCTACCAACCACCTGGTTCGCCAACTGTGTCACCTGACTCCAGCATTCTGTGATTGACTACCTGTCAAACCTAGCCACCTGAATGGAACTGGACTGCCCATCTCTGTGTGAGTACCTAAGGCTCTGAACTTTACTATTTCACCATTTTAGCTTAAACAGCCACTCAGGTATCCCTCACATGGCTTCCCATTGCAGATAACCAAGTCATGTGACCAATGAGGAGCTGGTGGAATAATTGCTTTCAGCAACCCAAAATACATAAAGGGATTATGCATCAGACACAGAGTTACTAAAGTTGAATCTACAAGATAAGAATATAAATCCACAAAGTAAACACCTCTTAAAAAAGCCAAAAAATTTAAATACTTAGGGCTCCCACTCGGCATCACCCTACCACCACCCACTCTGTGCCCAGCACAATGAGCAGAAGCAAACACGAAAACTCGTGATTCAGTCTCCAGATGTGACATCTGCCCACTCCTCCAATGGCAATGACTCAGCCTAAACTCTGGCTCAACCCGCAAGTGGTGGCAAATA